GCCAGAGGGGCGGTATAAAAATAAATCATATTATTATTATTATTATTAAAATTTAACACGTATTAAAAACAATAAACAAACCTTAACATCTGAATTACACAACATTTAAAGCCCTAACCTTGTCAGTTTGAAAAAGCATGGGAGCAGCCACTGAGAAAGCCCTCTCTTGTTCCCACCAAGTGTGCCTAAAAGGATGGTGGGACAGAGAAAAGGGCCTCTCTGGACAATCTCAACACCATAATGGACTCATATAGGGAGATACGCCTCTTCAAGCTGTATAGCGACGTATGGCAACTCTAAGGAGTTTTCTTGTCAAGTTTCTTCAGAGGGGATTTGCTGTCACCGTCCTCTGAGGCTGAGAGAGTGTGACTTGTCTAAAGTCATCCAGTGGGTTTTCATGGCCAAGACAGGATTTGAACCCTGGTCTCCAGAGTTGTAGTCCAGCACTCAAACCACTACATCACACTGGCTCTAATCCTGTTGTCCATGCAGCAAAGTACAATAACATCCACAGTCCACAAAATGGTGATCCCTTTATGGGGCCAACCAACATGCCATGTAGCAAAGTACAATAACATCTAAAAGCGACAAAATAGTGATACCTTTGTGGGGGATAACCAAAATACACAAAATTCTTCTTGCCAGCTTTTGAAGCTCCACTGGCTCCTTCATCAGGCAAAGGTGTTTTAAAAAAACCATACAAGAGAAAAACAAATTATAAGGCTGTACAAGACTAGTGTGGTATAATGGTTTGAGTATTGGACTAGGACACTGGTGGGCTGGGGTTCAAATCCTGACTCACCCATGGAAACCCATTGGGTGACCTTGGGCAACTCACACTCTCTCAACCTCAGAGGATGGCAATGGCAAACCCCCTCTGAAGAAACTTGCCAAGAAAATCCTGTGATAGAGTCACTTTAAAGTTGCCATAAGTTGGAAGTGACTAGAAGGCACAGAAGAACAACAACATTATTTTTAAAATCTTTGCCTGATGAAGAAGCCAGTGGAGTTTCGAAAGCTTGCAACAAGTTTTTTGTGCATTTTGGTTGTTCCAAAAAAAGGTATCAGTGTTGTGGATTTTGGATGTTCTTAGTATACTCTGTTACCCATTTCTTATAACCATGCAGAGAGGAATGTGTCTTTTCTTTCTTTAAGATGTTGGATCCTGGCAAGGGGTCAGTGACTCGAAGGTGGGAGGCTATCTGAATCCCTTGTGACTATTTCTTGCTTTAGCTGTGAGCCTAGTGTGGGGAAGATAATCTTTTCCTTATGCCACTTAATATGATCTACTTGGTCAGTTGTGTAATGTGGGACATAATGTTAATAAGATTGGTGTTTAAAACTCTTAAATGACCTGTTACGCGTTCTTGTTTAAACTTTTTGAAATGTTTGAACTCCAGCAAATTTTAAGGTTGTTAATATATGGTGTGTTATCATGGCAATGATGTTTATTGTTTTGGTTTCCATTTTGTGAAATGCTTTGGGGATAATGCACAATGAGAAATGCAATAATAGATAAATGGACTCTGGCTTCAGCTAAACTGCTCCTACTCCCACTCTCCATTTTCTATTCCCCCTGCCTCACCCAATCTAACCATACCTAGGACCCTTACACACTAATAATAATAATAATAATAATAATAATAATAATAATAATAAATTTTTATTTATAGCCTGCTTTTCTGCACAGCAATCAAGGCGGGTTACAGCATTATAAAACATACAAATTTAAAACATTCCTTATCCCGTATCCAACCCTCCCACCCCTTAAAACTGAATTAAACTATTGAAAAATTAAAACAAAATACAATATAATAAAACTCAACAAAACAATAGCAGCCACTGGGAGGAGCAAGTAGAACCATTCCTTCAATGGTTCAGTTTTAACTGCTGCGACGGCATCTTGTCATATCCTGCAGTTTGGCTGAGAAACACCTCTCCCTAAAATGCAAACAAAGCATTATTTAATAGAGCAAACAGATGTCTCTTCATGTGTTGTTTAAACTTTCCTGTATGGATCCACTTTATGGCTGCAGCACAGTAAACCTGTGAGCCTGATGTTGCTTCTGTTTTGAAATGCTGGTTTGGAAACAGGTAAAAGCAGATTTAGTGGTGCTTTATTGTTAAGAATCAATAATAACAAAAAAGAAAAAGAGAAGGTGTTAATTGCTGTCCAAAAGACAGCCTGTAGTAAGATTATGCTGATACTTTATTGACCATTTGGGTTACAGTCCCAGTAATTCCCAGTAGCTGAGTTCATTATAGGTATCAGGACCTGGAAAATGTGAGAGGATTGGATTAAAATTTCCACAACCCTTTAGCCAGCAGGGGTGCAAATATGTAATATAAACAATGTATTTTAGGTTCCCAAATAATTATTGCTCAAAAATCAGCATATGAAACTTTTAATTTAATGAAGCTAAAACATTATTTAGGCTTGCAGTCATACACAACTGGGGTCAATCTCTTGGAAATCAGTGAGGCCTCATTCTGAGTAGTATACCCTCCAACATTGCACAGATGAAAACAGGGACACATGTGGCAAGCATGTTGTCAGGATGGTAAAGTAATTGAGAAAGAATACACAAGCTAGGAGATGGTGCAGCAGTTTGGTTTTGCCTGAGTAGACAGGGAAGGGCAAAATTCCTCCCCTTTCCCTCTCTAAAAGTTCAAACTGTTCTTGCCCTTGGAACTCAGGGCCTTTGCAGACTGCCAGAATTAGTGCAAATTGAGTCCACTTTAAGGGTTAGGGTTAGGATTGGGGAATCATGGGAACTGTATTTTATTGTGGCACCAGAGCTCTCTGACAGAGAAGGCTCAATGTCTCAGAAAAAAAAAAACAATTCCCATGATTCCCTAGCACTAACCCTAACTCTTAAAGTGGACTCAATTTGCACTATTTCTGGCAGTCTGCAAAGGCAATCAGTTTACATCAGTTGAAGTAACCTAAGGACAAAGGAGGGGAGAGAAATTGGGGCACTTTAAAAGCATCTGAAAAAGTGGGACAGCAAAGGATTAATTGGCGAATTAAGGAATCCCCCTCCCCCCCGAAATTCATTTTGCTCTGTTCCTGGCTATTTCCTGCAAATTAGTGAAAATCTTTCTGTTCTGGTAAATACAGTATAGTATTTTTCTTGCTGGGCAGATTATGTTTTTGGAGCAAATTCTCATTTGAGATTAAACAACAACAACTTCCAAGTTTGACTTTGCTTGTTTTCCTATTTAATTCTTTATGGGACTTGTTTTTAATTATTGTAAACACAGAGATGTCCATGCTTGCAACATAGACTCCAACCATACATGGAAAGAGAGATCTCAGAGGTCCAAGTGGGTTCAGGAAAGGAAGAGGCACCAGGAACCACAATTGCAAACATACAATAGCTAATGGAGCGCACCCAGGGAATTCCAAAAGAAAATCAGTATGTGTTTTATAGACCACAGCAAAGCCTTTAACTGAATAAATCATGAAAGGCTATAGAATGCTCTTAAAGACATGGGAGTGCCAACACATCGGATAGTCCTAATGAGGAATCTGTACTCAGGACAAGAGGCTACTGTCAGAAGAGAACATAGAGAAACAGAATGGCTCCCAATTGGAAAAGGAATCAGACAAGGCGACATCTTTTCATCCTGTTTGTTCAACTTATATGCAGAATATATTACAGGAAAAACAGGTTTGGACACAGAAGAAGGAGGAGTGAAAATAGGAGGAAGGAATATCAACAATCTAAGATATGCAGATGACACCATAATACTAACAGAAAACCTAACAGACCTACTAAGGAAGATCAAAGAAAAAAGTGCAAAAGCAGGCTTAATATTGAACATAAAGAAAACAAAAATAGTGACCATCAATAAACTTCACAATTTCAACCTAGACAATGAAGAAATAGAAATAGTAAAAGAATTCCCATACCTGGGATCAAACATTGATAGAAATGAGGACTGCAGTAAGGAAATCAGAAGAAGACTAAGAATGGGGAGGGTGGCTATGAAAGAACTAGAAAAAGATTCTAAAATGCAAAGATATACAACTCAGAACAAAACTTAGAATCATACAAGCCATCGTATTCCCTATTGCCATGTATGAATGTGAGAGCTGGCCAGTTAAGAAAGATGATAGGAAGAAAATCAATTCATTTGAGATGTGGTGCTGGAGAAAAGTGCTGATGCACAGCCAAAAGGACAAACAAATTGGTCCTAGAGCAGATCAAGGCGGAAACCTCCCTGGAAGCCAAGATGACAAGACTTAGACTGTCGTACTTTGGACACATCATGAAAAGAGAAGAGTCATTAGAAAAGACAATAATGCTTGGACAGGTGGATGGAAGTAGGAAGAGAGGAAGGCCACATGCCAGATGGATGGACTCTGTTAAGGAGGCCACAGGAATGGGTTTGCAGGAAGTAAGTAGAGGAGTGGAGGACAGAGGGTCTTGGAGATGTCTCATCCATAGGGTCAGCATGGGTTGAAAACGACTTGAGGACAGTTAACAACAACAAAACCCACGGAGAAACAGAATGGTTCCCAACTGGCAAAGGAGTCAGACAAGGCTGCATCCTTTCACCCTACTTATTCAACTTATATGCAGAACATATTTTAAGGAAAGAATGCTTGACATGGAAGAGGGAGAAGTGAAAATAGGAGGAAGAAATATCAACAATCTGAGATATGCTGACTACACCATAATACTAGCAGAAAACTTCAATGACCTGGAACAACTACTAAGGAAGATCAAAGAAGAAAATGCAAAGGCATGCTTACTGTTGAACATCAAGAAAGCAAAAATAATGACCACAGAGAACTTACAAACATTCATATTAGGCAATGAGGAAATAGAAATAGTAAAAGAGTTCTCATATCTGGGATTAAACATCAATTGGAATGGGGAGTGCAGCCAGGAAATCAAGAGAACATTAAGAATGGGGAGGGCAGCTATGAAAGAACTAGAAATACAACTTAGCACAAAAGTCAGAATCATACAAGTCATCATGTTCCCTTTTACCATCTATGGATGTGAGAGTTGGACAGTCAAAGAAGTAGATAGGAGGAAAATCAACACATTTGAGTTGTGGTGCTGGAGAAGAGTGCTGGGGATCCCATGGACAGCCAAAAGGACAAACAAATGGGTCCTAGAACAGATCAAGCCAGAGATATCCCTAGAAGCTAAGATGACAAGACTGTCATACTTTGAACACATCACAAAAAGGCATGAATCGTTGGAAAAGACAAAAATGTTAGGAAAGGTGGAGGGAAGTAGAACAAAAGGAAGGCCACATGCTAGATGGATGGACTTTATTAAAGAGACCATGAATATGAGTTTGCAGGAGGTAGGCAGAGCAGTAGAGGACAGGGGAGCCTGGAGATGTCTCATCCATAGGGTCGCCATGGATTGAGATCAACGTGAAGGCAGTTAAAAACAACAAAAACTATGCTCAGGGTGAAATTTTCCATATAAATGAAAAGTAAATC